CCGATCGCCCACTCGCAATAATCAATGCCAGATTCCTCGTCTGTCACCAAAAAGTTTACTGCGACTTCATTGTCTGTCCAAGCATCCTCGTCTCCATCTAATACACAATTTTAGCAGAAATTTTTATCATTCATAAAAATAACATTTCAGTAAACTCGACATTTTAATTATACTCATTAACATACTTACTCCATAACCTCCCGTCGTTTACGGTGATAATAACTGGTGACGTCAAATCAACAAGAACAGGAACAGAGTACGATATTCCAAAAAGTTCTGCTGCATTTGAAGCCACCACTGTTACGTGTACATATGTGTTATGGACGAGGGTAACATTAGTATTAATTCCAAAGTTGCTTAGCCCAACGCTGGTAAACTCCTGCAACTGTGTACCACCTTTTGTGTACCCTATTGAAAAAAGTACACCATGAATGTGAATTCAAAGAAGGAATGGTGGTAAATTATTATGATTAGGAAATATATGATTAAATTACCTATCGCCCATTGAAATTCTGTGATAGGACTGACATCTTCAAGGAAACTCCAGGCCCCATGCATAGAACCCCATTGATGTATATAGACGACGTGGGCAGACACGAGAGAGTCAGTACTGTTATTAATGTTCCTTTCCACACATTGTATTGTAATTTGGTCTAAAAACAGACCCGTTTTAATGTCTGTACTGCCGATTTCTATAGCTGTATTCTCTTTTTCTGCTTTGAAAAAGAAGCTATGCTTATGCCAAGAAACAATTTCACGGAATTCAGATACATCGTGATCATCGTATCTGTAAGCCTTGGGATAAAGAAGAAACACATGGTTGTTTTTGCCGATGTTTACAAACCCTTCTTTATTGGCTATTGTTGCTACACGCATTGAAAGATGGCTGGAAAAGAAGTCGACGCGATAAAGCTTATCCCTTTGAAGTCCATTTATGTCTTGTTTAACACTGCCTCTTACTAGAAGAAATGATTTTCCATCTCTAGCAAAATTCTTCAAAGACGATACAACGGAAGCACAACTGCCATGCGTCAGATTCCAGTAGTTAGGAATGAAGTCATTACCAAGGGAACAGATGTTTTGGTCATTGATATTTTCAATTACTAATGAGTTTCTGGATATTTCAAAAGACGGGTTCAGCAGAAGGTTTTTGTCAGTGTGATAAAGGTACTCAGGTTGTGGAGGAGTGGTGTCGATCCTGACTCCATCAGAAACCACGATGTCAGATTTATATCCCACATTGTCCACGGCATAGACTTTGCTGTAGTAGATTTTTCCTGAATGAAAAATTATTTGCTTATAATGAAAACAAATACCGAGGGTTATCACAATGAGCCTTGGTTACATGTACGAAAAAAAAGGTCAAATACTCAAGCTACAACATATCAATTAACTGTGGTTTTACTATTATTCTTTCTCGTAATGCATCTGATAATTTTTATGCACCCCTCCGAAGCAAAAGTACTGAAAACAATATGTAAAAGAGATAACTAACCAAATGAATCGTAATTATATTAAGTCCAGTCTAAGGAGAGCTATTTCATAAATGAAAAAAATGCTAGCTTTACATTCCAATAATTTCCTTTAATCTTACCATTTGCTAGTTCAACAGCAAGCGTTCTGGAGACTGAAATGTGTATCCCTACCCTCTCCCATTCCCATATACTGCATTCAGTATTTGAGTGCACTGATGAGATTGTTGTCGTGTTCCCTACACACCAAAAGTAATTCCTAATCCCTGATCCTGTATCCAAAAATCCATGCCATCTAGCTTGAACTAAATTTGATGCATTCTGAAACTCCAGATCATGCAAGCCTGTAATTAAATATTGCAGTATATTGAAGAATAGCTTATTAGAAATTATCAAAAAAACACAAGGTTCTTTTAAAGCATGACAGATACTGTGGAATTACTATTTGTTGTGGGGACTTTACTTTCGTTGTTTTCTCGGTATTGAGGAACCTCAGACACAAAATGTTTGCTAAAATCCTCGAAAGCAAAATCTCTTTAGACATATATTTTCCTTAAGCTACGAAAAATTGACTCCATAAAATTGAGTTATTTTACTGTATGCACACCTATTCCATCAAAAACTATCCCGGATCTCGGTTTTTCGTCATCAATCATGAATCCGTCTGAAGATTCTGTGTTGTGGATTCCCGATAAGCCGTAGGCGATGACGTTAGTGAAATACTGCACTCCTGAAGACAACGAGAGACCGCGCACCAAGAATGTCGTGTCTGTATTGGATAAGTCTTCTCCGCTGTCCCAAACACCGTAACCTGATAAAAATACGTATAACTTCATATCGTTTATAACCATACATGTACCATTTTTAAACATTTGAAATCGGATTTACAAGTAAAGATAACTAGTTTTTCAAAGAATCGATAAGGATAAATGAAAGATCAATCTATTGCTAATTTTGAGATGTTAGGATACTTACCCAAAAGGAAATCATAAGCAAAATATTAATATCTTGCATTTTATTCTTACACTATAATTTATTGATAACTTATTTGTTACTAACGTGTTTTGTTAAGAAATTGTTTGATCATGACAAGGACTACAAAAGGCCTGTGACCGATCAGCAGGGGATAGTCCACCATGGAACCTGATCCCTCCTCTGATGTTTTGAGCTCAGTGTTTGCTGTGTTCCCAATATGTGTTGTTCCAACGGACTTTTATAAGTGAAAACTGTTCATTATCTTCAGAAAAAATACTATTCAAACATTACATTTTAGGTAGATATCATTCATCTGTTCATACCTCCTGGTGTTGTACTTAGGTATACATGAAAGGATTTGATTGTCTCCTTCACGTCCACAAACTTATTTGTCCAATTCACCATTAATGCAATGCCATCCTTTACAAAATCATCATCTTTCATTGCACTAGATATCATTCTTTCAGTTATCTAAAATAATTCAGAATATATCAAATTGAAACAAGACATGAGAGACAAAATAAATGTTTTATAGCGTAACTTCCCAGTAAGAATGCTTTACGTAATTAATCCATTATCTGGAATCAATTTTAGTCTATCGTTGGGCCACAAGGTATGTCAACCATGACAAATTGGTTTCACCCTTATAGATCAATAACGCTGAACTTTTAAGTCCTAACTTAATTTTTCCATTTCTTAAACTCTTAACTTTTACATTGTAAATGATAAACATCATTTTGAATAGAGAAAATGAAACTTGACCAAAATTTTTTTTTCTGTCGAAATATAAATTTATTACTTTACTAAACTGGTATCTTTCCATTGTACACTTACAGAACTTCCAAGACTATCGACGACGGCAGGCTTTTGTGTTTCTATGACTACACCCTTCGATTTGAAGACTGCATACGTGTTTTTGTTATACCATGCTTTAACAAACATTGAGTAGGAAACACCCTCTTCGAGATAATGACCTTGAGTAAAAGGAACGAACGCACTATTAATGTTAGAATTTGACCTGTAATATAATTATGCAATCTTAGCATCTTTGTATAATTCTAAATTATAAAACATAAGCTCAAAGATACCTTTTTTGTAAAGGGATGCAAAATAGAAATAATGCTTACTTTTGATACTTTATTGTGAAGGATAATTATAGCTAATGGTTTTGCTTTTATAACTTCATTATAAACGATTGAACTTATAATGACTTAGATTCACAAAACTCCAAATTAAGAAAAACATTTATTTTAATGTGTATGTAATGCACGTTGTCCACTTCCAGTTTTCTATCAATATTTTCAAAAACTAATAACCTGGATCAGTAGTATAAGTAATAAACGTATTCTGCCCTGCATCATGCCATACACGATTGTGCTGTGGGTCAAATATTCCTACTGGTACATTGTGTGCTGTAAAGCCAACACTCCACTGGTACCTGTTGGACACAAACATACGAACAATGAAGTAAACAAATCTTTTGGGAAATGCCTCACAATTCGAAAGAAAAGTTAAAAAAAATATGATTCTGATATATTTTTCATTATAATTCAGTTGACAGCTTAAAGTATAAACGTAGGAGACTAATAAGTAGGAACTTGGCTTGATAAAATATTACAAACTAATATTACTGAATCAGTTGAACTGCATAGGTATCATTTTAAATATACTCACATGAAAGGTTGACTTCCTTGTCTATGGACAATTGACCATCGACCTTGCAGTACTGTATTACTAGGTGTGAAATTTATATCTGAAGCTCCAAATATCAGGTCACTTACTTTAATTAGGTTGTTTATATTTCCTGCAAGAAAAATAAGATCACTGTTTTTTTCAATACCATTAATTCAGATTAATTCTGAATATTTTATTCGTTTCAGATCACGAAATTTGCTAACATCTTTTATTGATCTTTTACGTTTGTCTTATTATAGTTAGTTGTTGCAATATTACCGATTGTGACATCATTACAAGAGGAACCATTATTGGGACAGACTTTATCTTGCGGAGCGCATACACACTGTCCCTCGCAGTCTTCTGCCTCACATCGCCTCACCAATGAAAGTAGTCCTTGTGGCAACTTCTTGAATTTGGAATGAACTATAGGACTTGATAGTCCTGCCTTGAAAGTTAAAAGAAGGTATCTATAGAAACGTAGTCTAAGAGAGATAAATGGATTTTTATTTTGCTTTATACTGCAGTATTTATTGCAAATCACTTGTCATAATGTACCTTATTTACAGCCCAAACACTGATATACACATAATCATGTGATGATAATTTTTGAGTGGAAATTCGGTATGCCTGAACCTTCCCTTCGTCGTATTTATCAGCTCCATTTGTGCTATGATTTACCCTTTTTGGAACACCCTTTTCCTACGATTAGAAAAAAATCTGATTTTGAATAAAACCATCTACATATTTATTAAATACTTACGCTTCATTGAAAATATAATCTATTACAACAGTGAAAAATATTTCACATTCTCACAGTGTTTAAGTCGGCTCCCATGTAAGTTGAACCCACGTTAACAAAGTAATGGATGATGTCCGAGTGGGCATCAGAAAATCCTAACCAAGCAAGGTTAACTGCATATTTCCACCAGGTCATAAAACCAGACACATGGCGACTCAATTCTACATCGACAGCATGATCGGTCTTTACCGCAAACATACCTAATAGGAAAAATGATTGCGATGTTCGTAATTCTATCTTTAATTGCATATATTGAATAAAATCTATGATTATTTTCTCTATTGTTGATTGATTTACATTGGCTAAAACAAGTTTACATTATCAAGTATAAGAAGTCTGACAAGCTGAGTGTTTCTATTTTAAAAACGTGCCTGCTGTCTTTTAAATTGGAAATTGAGTATAAGGAAAAAGCATGAATTTTTATAGTATACAGTTATGGAATGGGTACGAGGGAAATGGCAAATTAGTACAAAAAAAAGCATGTCGAAATGTTTTGACGTCATAGTTACATTGCTAATAACATGTGACGTCACAGACTCGATATTCCTTGAACGCTCCGCCCACTGAACACTTTGATTGGTTAAAATTACTAATAAATATTCATGAGGGAGTAGTCCCAGGGAGTAGCTCTGATTTTCCAGGGAGTAGTCTTCAGATTAGTGAAATAGGTCTTTTCTTAGTGAAATAGACAGTTTTATGGTATTGATTTTATATAGAGTAATTACAGTAGAGGCATAATAATTATTTTTATCAAGTGATAAAAAAATAAAACAAATATACAGCTCAACGCACTTTTAAAGCTCAAATGGTTTTTCGCACAAATTAAGGTCACATTGCTATAATGTAATATTGTGTGGAGAGACAACAAATTGCGTTTTAAAAGTACTTGTTTACATTATTTGAGTTTTATTTCATTTACATAAACATAATTTACACAAACCAGTTAATAGAACTTTGATATATTCATGGCTGAAAAATAACAACTATTCCCATTTGATTTTTTGTTGTTTCTTGCAAATTGAAGCTGTCGTTTTTCCATTCTTTTGAAAGCAGTATCTCTTTGCAGAAACGTAGACACGGGCACAGTACAGCTTGTGTAACTTGTATTTTCTATATATTCTAACTCTTTAGCCCGGGATGATAATAGTATTTTTCATCTGTTTGACTACTTTTTGTGCTAATAAGGTGGCATTTTTCAGACTTACCTTCTAAAATCTAGAATCGTGAAAGATTAATCCCAATGCAAAATTTTAACGTATCAAACCGTAAATACAATAGAATTTTCCTTTTCATAGAAAGAATATATAATTTTTAAAAAATTAAACAATACTTCAACAGGTTCTTTCTATAGTGTTAACATTTTTCGGAACTACATTTCCACAAAACCAAGAGGAGTATGGTAAATGAGCAAAGAATTTTGAAAAATACTCACCTTTAAGAAGAAAATTAAAAATTTTCAACTACTGTACATGGTATGAATAAGAACTCGTTTTATATAATTTGTAAAAACCTATGGTAGAATCCTATAGTAGAAGCATCGTACCATTTATTGATTAATTCCCCTTTAATACATCCACTTTAGAAACTGAAAATAATGATTCTAAAGGACTTATGTCCTTGACATTATATATTTTCATCGTACTGAAGTTAGAAAATGGTAATTTTTATAACAAAAATGTGACCTTAATTTGTGCAAAAACCCTGTGAGCTTAAAAAGTGCGTTGAGCTGTATCTTCAATTTGATATAATCCCTATATATATATACCTTAGAGAATGCATATCAACCTTGCATGAAATATCTAAGGTCTATATATCTACAGACTGTATCCATATTTGTATAGTATGACAATAAACCATGTGATACATGAGTTCAGAGTAACCTTGGGTTGGTGGAGTGCTGTCCACTTGAATTCCAGTGGAAGTACTTGAAGAACACATTTGAGCTCCATTACAGGATATAAGAGTGACAAAATATTTAACTCCGTCGTGCAGCTTCAGCTCACTGAGAACAAAGTCACGTGCAATGCCATTTACCTGTAGAAGAAGTGTTCGAAATACATAGTAAAAACTAATATTTCATACAACATTAAACTAAAACAAATTTCAATTCCTCCTCGGCTTACCTGCATGGAAGAAGAGTTAAAATCACCACCAATATGAGATTTCAGGGATAGATACTGCCTTTCTATGTGTGATTCTGGGTCGTCTACTTTCCACTCAACCTTTACCAGTGATCTGTATATTTGCGTGTTTTCAACCAGTGAGGAATCTCTTGTAAATCTGGGACCACTAGTTATAACAGGAGGTGTTTCATCAATGGTAAAACCATTAGAAACACTGTCAGCAAATAATCCTGTAAAAAGCCATATAAGATGCTAACACACGCATTTCCATTTGTTTGCATACAATACTGCAGTTTTGAGACTACATCTTTCCAAAAAATAATGATTCAATACTTAATTATCCAAAAAAGTGATCATATACCTGCTTTGTTATATGCGCGAACAGTTACATATATACGCTTTGACAATGGTAGTTCCTGTGAGAAATTATACGCAGTTGCTTCTTCAACCAAGTGGACTTCTTTTGCCGTAAGAATATCGTTACCCCCCGGCGTGGTCCCTGCCCACCAAACATAATGCGATATTCCAGACTGTGGGTCAGTGAAACCATACCACTTCGCACCAATCCAATTTCTGTCATTGGTGAAAGTATTCATTGAATAGTACATAAGTTTGAACAGGGTAGCTGTTTATTTTAAAGACAGGCATTTGCTATTCACACTGTTGATAATATAGGGTAAAACTGTTTGTTTCCGTAACTTAATAAAGGGAACAAAAAAGGATATAAAGGTTTGTTTTCAGTGACCTAACCATGGGCAAGAAAATGTTTGAATCATGAACTTAAAATCTCATGCAATTACCTAATTGACTGGTATTCCATGTCGTATGAGGATGTCCCATCTGTAACCACGCCCACATTTGGAGGACTATTGTCCATGATGACACCATCAGAGTAAGCTGTGGTACAAAACTCTGCGGTGTTACAGGCTGTTACCGACGTATAGTAGGTTAAACCCGAACCAAAGTGGACATAATCTACCGTCATTTCTGAAAGTATTTTAAGAAAATGTTCCATGCATTTTTTAATTCTGTTATCAATGTAATTTTCTATTTTTTCTATTTTCAAACACATTGCATAACTTTTTTGGACAGAGAAATGTGGTTAAATACGTATAGTACACGTAAATCTGCAGAGAAATTGCTATTCCGTTTAGAAAATCAGATATAACGAATTTTCTTACCTGTCACAAGACCGACACTTTGACGACCAATTACATCATCACATCGAATACATGTTCCTACGGTTATAAAAATTTCTTTAATTGAGGAATGGGGATCATGAAATCCTTCCCAATAAATCTTTAATTTGGACATATCGGTTTGATAATCAATGTCCCATTTATTGTTTCCTGATGGCGAAAGTTCAAACACGTGGCCTTCAAAAGGAGGAGAGAGGTCAACAGTGTAGGCCCAGGAAGTGGCAAGTGATACCAGACGAGCTTTGTTGATGGCCTAAGTAAATAAACACTGCTTTGTAATATCATAAGCATAAATGATACTATTAAATGGATCTTATTTTTAATAACGTGTTCAAACTAATTGTAAAACCTTTATCTTATACTGATTTTGACTATGGAATGATTCGTCTACCTGATTAACACATAGGTCTCACAGAGAATTTGACCGTTCAAAAGGGGATGGTTATTCCTTCTAAACATCTGATCTTACCTATGTAATTTCCATAGGTCCTATTTTGTTTTGCAATCTTCACATACTTTTTTATTATCGTAAATATTTTTCCAGCTCAGTCTGAATTTGATATAAAAAGATGTTCTTATTTCTGACAGACAATATCTATGTGGTTTTTGGAAACCATGTCTTCCAACAATCTATTGAAATTGCCATGGTTACCAATTGCCCCTGTTATTAGCAGACCTTTTTTTGTATTCTTGTGAATCAGATTTTCTCCAAACAATTACTGCGTCAAAAGAAGATTTCTAGCAGCCAAGCTTTATGAAAAACGAGATGACAAATTTTTTAATCGTCTACTTCCCTTACTTATGCAGCAATATACCTTCATCACCTGCATACAGAACTTGTATCCCTCGGTTGATTCGATACGCAAGAGTATGCTCATCATATGAACAATTTTATGGTCGATAAAATAACCTTGTCAGCAAAAAAATTATCATTAAGTCATAAGCTGACTGACGTTTTCAATAATAATTGTTAGGCCATCATATACGCACTGAATTGTCAATGGATTTTTCCCCTTTTATTTCCCGATCATGACAAGAAGACCACAGCGGGTTTGACCGGTCGACATGAGAATGCTCACTCCTCCATGGCACATGATCCCACTTCTGGTGTTTTGGGTGTCCGTATTTGCTCTGCTCCTTTTTTGCATTGTTTAAGGGACTTTTGAGCTTGAATTCTGTTCGTTATCTCCATATATTTTACTTCACGTTTTCCATGAACGCATAATTACTGTGCACTGAGATATACCTTGACGTTTATGTAATATGCATGTCCTTCCTTGATATCAAGTCTGTGATTTTTATCATTTGCTCCACATTCAGTATCCTCACGGGTGTAATCCATGATGTCAGAATACCCGGGCTCGGAACCAACAGACCACATGTAGAAGTCTATATCACTCTCAGGATCACTAAACACTTTCTTCCAACTGATCAGTGAAAATAGAAAATACAAATAAATAATTTGCTTTTATTTATCTTGCTCAAGTTGTCTTGGAGCTGCAAATAATCCAATATATAATGGTTAAGGTCTAGAATGCTTCTTCATTTTTGAAAAAATCATTCTTTACATGGGAGGAGCATTGGAAATAAATGAATTTCATTAGAATTTTTTCTAGAAATCAATTTTGTACTGAAATTTAACCGTATATATAAACCTACAGAACTCACTTGATCAGGATATTTATCCTTTATCCTTGTATTTAAGAACTGATAAAATTAAATTTTACATTGCATTCAATTTCAAACGGTTGGGAATATTTTACTTATCAGCAGAAAGAAAGGGTCTGAAAATGTTTATTTCTATAGATTTTGTAAGTGATATATAAGATTACCATGCTTCAATTTCCGAGACAGATGTTATGTGACGTCCAGTTATAGTGATAGGATTGTCAGATTTTATTGGAGGACTGGTATCAACAGTTATTGGTGAGGAAGTTTGAGCAGTTGTTCTATTGGCAAAATCAGTTGCTGAAAATTTTTTAAACGTTGATTAAATTGCTATCTTAACTGCATATCTCAGAATTAAATTGTAAATTTTGGACTTTCAACACGTCATAACACAGACAGTTGTACTGACAAATTGAATAAGGCGCGATTTTATTTTTGTTCAACTGTCCGTGTTATGACACTATGGGTGTCCAAAATTTACAATTTAGTTCTTATATTTACATTTACAGATTCTACGGCAGATAGATAAAATATCACTTCTTAAAACATGTTTCGCCTGTTTAACTAAAACATTCTGCACTTGTATTTCAAAATTGAGGAAGCAGTCATTGTTATGCATGAGCGTGAATTTTGATTTGATTCTGCTCTTGCCGTTGCCCTTGTCCGGTGTTCAACGTTTGTATTTAATCTTTTGTCCTCCTTGGTCGTGCTATGGTGTTTTGAATGCTTAATCTTTCAACACAGTCTAATTTATAAGAAAAAGGTCTGGAGATAAAGATAATTGAATACATCTTGTAAGATTATATATATTATTATTTCACCTTTTACTGTAGCATAGTACTTGTGCCCACTTTGCAACGTAAGTCCATGTAAGGCTTTATGATTTACAACTCCAACATTTATGAATGCAACAACATCATTCCCACCAACAGAGGTACCTATACAAAAAACGTTATTCTTGTACAATCTGAGATTGAATCTTTTGACATTTAAATTTTTATAAATCAATATGAAAATAAATAAAGTACCGATTCCAAGATGGTAAGCTTGCACTCCAGATGCATGAGAAATGGTCTGAAATTCTTCAACATCCTTAAATGAATCCCATGTTATATACAGGTCCGTTGTTGATGTCTGAAATGTCGAGAGAAAAAGGGAAAATGACGAGAAGAAACTTTCCAAGATGGCAGACATGGCAAAAGAAAAGAACTTTTATTGTTAAATATTTTCGAATTTTTTGATCTACAAATCGATCTGTATCAAATTCAAAGGATATGATTTTATCCTATTGAATTTCATTAACGCTCCAGTTTCATATCAAATGTCCTATAAGATATATACTGTTAAGTTTTTTCTTGATCGTGTTCTCATATCATCTGTTTTCATGGGAGATTTCCTTGCTCAATATTTGAACACTCATACATTTCATCACAATACCTTAATTAATTTTAAATATTGAATAACTTTAACAATGACAGTAAAGTTTTCATAAAACCTGGTATTGCTGTCCCTGTTTGCCAATCCAAACATTTCCCGCTGACGGAGGAGTAAGATCAACCACAACTCCGTCACTGCATTCGTTAATTTCCGGTAGTATTTGAGTCCATTTTTCATGTTGTATTTCAGTATATTCCGTATGAATACATACGATGTATCGTTGACCATGCTCAAGTTCACTGTCACTAAACTTTACATTGATGAATTCGTGCTCTAATGAAATAAGCATGAAATATATGAAAATGCATGGTTTTAGAGTTGTCAAAACTTAGAACATTAGAGTGTGTATTAAGTAATTGAGAATAATGCTTTGCATCAACAAAATAAATAAAATGTAGACAATTGTAGAACATAAGCAATTTTATTTTCATTTAATTGGTATATTTCAGTCACTAAGTATTGTAATAATCTAACCAGTGGTGACACATTTGATAGAATTCGGATGACTACAGGGATCACTGAGGGATAGAGAAGATGGCGGCAGGTAGTAACTAGTAATATCCATATTCCGGGCCTTGATCACTGCCACGGTGTAGGAATTATATCGTAGAGAAGGCCACACAGCTGATATGTAGTTCTTATTTGGAGTATAGTCCCTGTCTACATATGGCCACCTGGCGTTTGTCTGTAGAAGAATTGCTTCTCCATAGCCATCTGAATGTTTAAAAAAAAAAGTAAATAGTGAAAAGGAATTAACATATATAATTCCCATTATATGAATGCTTGAATACAGATCTAAGGCTAAAATTGTTACAAAAAACAAATATATAAATTTTCCGAAATAATATTAATTTATAGGTAATTAGTTGACATTCATCTAAATAAGGATTCTGATAGAGTATAGATTGTATAGTGAATATTTAAATGCATAATAAATAATTATGATTACCGCGTATTTTACTTTGATAAAAAAGAAAGACAAACCTCTGCCAGGATCCTGTGCTCCAACAGCGTCAATGACAATGTTTGGTTTGATGTTTCGTGGATCAAATGCACTACAGTCCTTGATATCAGCGGAAACTGTTGAATAAAGTCTTGCTTTGTTGTATCCTCGCACAGTTAATCGTCGACATTTCGAAAAGTCCATATTTCCTGTCAATGGTATGGTGAATTCCATCTACAATATATAAGAAAGTTATTATCAAAATTCAAAATATATATATGTTACAGTAAATATGTGTAATCAGGAATTTCATGTATTTCCTGAATTTTAGGAAATACATGAAATCCCTGTTCTGCTCAGAGAATACACGTATTTACTAGTTTTAGTTAGGAAATACACGTGTTTACTGAATTTTTCAATACTTTTTACACCTATTTACTGACTGCATTTTGGTGGGATAATTAATATGAATCATAAGATATAAACAGATGCACAGTGCATTCAATGTTGATATCAGTTAGCATAATTATCATACGTGAATAAATAATATTTTTGATTACTTACGAATTTTAAAAATTGCATTATTTGTAAATATTAACCCCAAAAACTTAATAATATTCTGCTTTCATTGTTTGGAATGTGTTTTCTACATCACAACATACTTTCACTAACTTTCAGTTATTTAATCTTAAACACTAAAATCGCTTACTGGCATTTTTAATTATTAGATATTCATACAGTTAATGCTACAATTATTAACAATAAATTAAAAACTCTAAAGCATCTTATTTGCAAATAAAACAACTCTTATACGGTCTCCTCCAAAATGCAACAGAAAAATCTTGCAAAATACACATTATTTAACGATATTGAAGAAATCAGTAATTCAAGATGAAACTTCACTAAAGGGAATTTTCCACCCTAATATTTAAAAGTTCAAAATATAATTTTTGCTCAATAAATTTGATTTAACCTATAATTGCAAAACATATCTATGTAACCATAATTGTAAAGATGTAAAACTCAAATAAATAATAGTATATTCTAAAAATCGTAATTTTTATAATTTTTGTATAAACTAGTTTAATAAATTTGAATTAATAACTTCTTTGCAAATGTATGAATATGCAAAAGTTCAAATTAATGCATCTATTTGTAGAAAGTATCAAATGCTGCTTTAAGAAAAAGAATTTTATATTTGTATACGTACGGAATTTTTCAAAGAATATGTATAAAGTATTTATCCAGCTTAGTTCAGTAAAAACGTGTAAAATTGGCTAAAATTTTCAGAAAATACATGAATTACCTAGCAATTCAGTAATTACACGTATTTCCTAAAATGGCCAGTAAATACATGTATTTCCTGAATGGTTTAGGAAATACATGAAATTCCAGATTTCACATATTTATTGTAACATATATAAGCTTTCAATTTAATATTTTTTTTAAAGATTTCAAAAGATATAATTTGTACCTTTACTTGTATTGCATATCAAAAATCAATTTAAAACTGTTTTCATTTCTGTTATGGTAATTCTCCAAAATTTGATAAAGGATATGAAAATAATTCCTTAATTTATTTAAAATTGTAAATATGCTGTGTTTTATTATTCTACACACTCTCTCTCTTTCTTTCTTTCTCTCTCTCTCTCTCGATAAATAAAGCTAAATACTTTATATTGGTCAGGTTTAACTTCAAAATTCTTTAGCTCATGCCAAGGAGTATGCAGTCTTCCGATGTCTGATTGGTCCGTTATTGCCCATTCATATTTGTTGATAACCCCATACTTTTCACTCGGTATTTGAATGTCTGGGTCTTTAAACATGTCCATCACAACGTTTAGCTTAAAACGATGGATACCAAATTTCAACTTGCAATTTAGCATCACAAGAGAAATAATGAATTCTTAGTACTTGAAAGCAAAAGCTTAGCATTACCTTTTCAGTTGCAGATGAATTTTCATGAACAACTTGTATGCCACCTGCTATGGGTGGGTTGGCTAGAATCATGATGCCATTGCTGTGTATTGGCAAGAAACAGATCTCTCTGGCACAAGGTTTTAGGGCAAAACGATACAATTTCCCAGGATCTAACAATAACCCATTTACATGGACTTCCTGGTGACCGTGGCTGGACTTGAAGTTTTGGAAAACGCTCCAATCATCTAAATAATTTTTTTTTGGTATGAGTTTTGAATTCCATTCATTATTTTATTGATATCGAAAGTCTTTTTGAAAAAAAAGGCAACTGAATGATTATGCCTCATTTTAATAGATGGTCTAAAGTCAACATACTCATGTTAAACTTTTATATAAGACATACCCCCATACAGTGATTTTCCTTCGATGGAATAGTAGATATCTGGAGTGTATGATACCGTTTCCTCTGATATTTTCCAAAATGCATTTAAAGTATCAGTGGAAGATTGGAAATCGGTTTCGTTTGAGCAATTTGTCATGATATCCTGTTAAAAATTAACAATTAAGAAAAAACAATCACTACATTTATAACATTTTCTCGAAGTTAAGAAATTAAAAATTAAATATTTCAAATTCAAAAGATATAATTTCAGTAAAAACAAAAGATATACATTTATAACTAACCCAGTCGTGGTGAATCACAGATTTTGTTGTGTTTTCCTCTAAAATAGATAAACCATTTAAATCATAATTTTATTTCGGATGATAATTAAAAATCCAGACATCACTGGATAGGAAAAAGGATATATGACAAAACTTAGGCTTCTTACTCCTTATGTTAAAAAAAAAAGTTAAGAATTATGCATACCTTGTTCAATGCAGGGTTCTCCGTCAAACACTGATATACCAGTCAAACTTGCATTTTCTCTTACAACTGTTATTCCATCTGAGGTTGCCTGTACGTTTCCAGCTGACGTTACAGCCGTTACGGTTATGTAGTAAGTCTGTAAAATAAGAATACGGTGATATTACATAATTGTCAGAATGTTTTTAAATAAAATTTTTAAAAGAATTCAATTTCTTATCATATGTTCTCTACCTTAAAAAATGTCAAAGAAAGTCCCTGTTCGATATGGGAAGTATTCATCCCAACTTCTCTTTGTGGAACAACGTCCGCAGAGCCAGGTGTAGTTCCTATTTGAAATCTGTACATTACATCAAGGTAAGCATGAGAAAATCCCGTCCATCTTGCAGAGAGGCTATTCATCGAAGTAGTATAATCAATATCTTCTACGTCCTGATTTTGTGTCATCAAAAAATTGGAATATATTTTAATGGAAAATGAAATTCTTTCCACAAGAAAACTTTAATTTTTACATAATTAAATAAATCATGAATCATATGACAATTGAATACTTACTAGGAAATTAAATTTCAGTTCATTCTGTAATACAAAACAATTTAATTTGGATTTTTTTTAATTAAAAAAAATATTAGGTTTAAATATTACGTTTTAATATTTTATTACATGTAATATACATAATATAATTTCTACTAGGAAACATATGCATTAAAAAGAATTATCGAAATAGAACCTATATTAATCAACCTTGCGTAGTTAAGATTTTTTTTAAAATAATAAACTATATATATATATTAAATAAATAAACACACCGCTACATCCATAACACTTCCAGTTGAAGGAAGCTGCACAATGTGTATATAAGGTTCTGAGACACCAAAAGTAGCGAGACCCGCTGCGTTCTCGGCTTTTATCATGACGTAGTACGTGTGGTTACCATGCAGTCTCCACTCAGTATCATTTATAGGGATAGCTGTACATGTTGGTGGTTCCTTTACAGTACAGTTGGCACCAGCCGATAAACTCGAATACCTCCGTACTTGTGTGCCCTTAATTGTGTGACCTGTATATGCAAAGAATTTCATAAATGTGATATCTTTATCCTTGAAAAGTTGTTCTTAAGTTGCAAAATCACATACCTCTGAGTGGTTACCTATCCTAAATAATTGATTTTCAATGAAGATATGTTTGATATTTTATGATTTCGATTTGTTGATTCAAAAGTAATTTTATAACTGCTTCTAAACCTTAAATAATCGTTATTTACAAAATTTAAATACTAAAATTAAATTGGCTTAAAAATTTCATCCAAATTAATGCAGTACTTTATTAAAGATTAGAATAAACAACAACGTCTGGTCTTTTCTATCGCCACACTTTATGTCGTTTTTCTTTTTCAGTCCATTCAAAACAAAGACGTATCTGCGCAAAAAGTGAATTAATTTAGATAAACAAATTGCAATAATTATTAAAGAAAAGACCCTTTACAGCAAAAATAGTCATTTAGATTATGCAAATGAAATAATCTTATAAGATAATAAATATCTTATAAGATATGCGGATGAACTTAAAATACGAATTTCGAAGGAAACTTCAAAAGACATCGGTAACATTGTGACGAAAGAAAAATTTTATCTTAATTTAAATTTAATTTTGTATAAATCAATATGATTTAAGTATGTGACATTGTAATTAATATATTCCGATCATTACCTTATTTAAATCTGTTGTGACGTTACTTTTTGGTTATCCTTCGTATTATTATGATACTTGTGAGATATATTGACTTCGGTAAAAAAAATATATTCTTACCAACAGCATACTGAAGAGAAAGAGGAAATGGATCCCCTGTATCAATAAAACTGTTTCCATTCCACGAGACGACCAAATGTCCATCTTGATGCTTGACTGTTATTGGTGGGGAGAAAGCCGGTGGAGTGGTATCGACGAAACTTGGTCCTATAGACTGCATTATGAAAATTGACCAAGTTAATGTTAAATATAAGAATTGATTTGGTTATAATCATGTTCGATTACTTTAAGAACAAAAAATTAATCGTGATTTTTCTCTGATTGTCTAAGATTTGGTAAAGTTCTGTCCTTTAAATACAGACAAATTAAGATAATGAAAATCAGTTTGTCCGTGCATCATTAAATGTGCGAGTTCTCATAATTGCAAAAAAAAAACAAGAGGCCCATGGGCCACATCGCTCACCTGAGAAGCTTTGACCATTCTGTTCTTTACCAGATTTCACCCTTGTTATACATAATGCATCCCCACCCTACCCCACTGATCATAAGGAGATGGGTGAACTTAGCGTGCAGAAAGCCCACTAGTTTCAGATATATAAAAATCAAATTTAAAGTGTGAATTTAGTATTTAGAGTAAAGTTCTCATCGTTGCTTTTTATGAAATCATGATAAACAAAAAGTTTTGAGGATTTTTTTTTTATTAAAATTCTTTTTATATATAAAAAATAATGTGGTATCCATTGGGTTCGAACTCTGGCAATAAAAATCCTGAATTGTATTCTCTATTGAGACTAGCACGCTAACCACTGCGCTACACAAGTCCTGATGAAATATGGCATTTAAATCATGTTTGTGATATGACCATTGACTTAAGGGACTATTTCTTGAAAAGATACGAAAGTTATGTCATAAAATTATATTTTTAAGGTATAGTGGGTCATTGCTCCATGATTTTGGAAACCAAAATATGTATGTTTGTATGCAAACTTTGAGGATTAATTCTCAAAAGAATGGAGAGAAGACCCACTCATAGAAAAATAGTGTTATAGTGTGAAAAAAATGACTCGTTTCGTCCTCTTTTGTGTGTGTATAGTATTTTATAGGCAAATAACTTCAACATTCATGAGATTTGTGCAGTTTGTAGAGATTTTACATAAAGTATACTTTAATATTAAATAAAATATTAAGGAAAATTTAGATATAATTGAGATTTAATTTTTCACCTTCATGTTTGTTTCGCTATGTGCTTATCCCACGTCATGTTCACCCATGTCCTTTAGACATTTTGAAATCTACACTACCCCATGATCCTTCCATGGGCACATATGTTTCAGCTTTTTTGGCCCAGTGGTTCCTGAGAAGAAGATTTTCAAAGTTTTTTCCTATATATTTCTATGTAAAACTTTGATTTGTATAATGGCCCCGCCCTTCCCCCGGGGGTCATGATACAATTTGAATTTACACTACCCCAGAATGCTTCCACATAAGCTTCACTTTTTCTGGCCCAGTGGTTCTTGAGAAGAAAATTTTCAAAGAATTTTCCTATACATTATTTCTATATAAAACTTTGATTCCCCATTGTGGCCCCGCCCTTCCCCCGGGTGTCATTATTTATATCTACATTATACCAGGATGCTTCCACATAAGTTTCAGCTTTTCTGGCCCAGTGGTTCTTGAAGAAGATTTTCAAAGATTTTTCCTATATATTTCTATATACTTTGATTCCCCATTGTGGCCCCGCCCTTCCCCCGGGGGTCATGATTTGAACAATTTAGAATCTACACTATACCAGGATGCTTCCATATAAGTTTCAGCTTTTCTGGCCCAGTGGTTCTTGAGAAGAAGATTTTCAAAGATTTTTCCTAAATTTTTCTATATAAAAATTCCCCATTGTGGCCCCGCCCTTCCCCCGGGGGTCATGATTTGAACAATTTAGAATCTACACTATACCAGGATGCTTCCACATAAGTTTCAGCTTTTCTGGCCCAGTGGTTCTTGAGAAGAAGATTTTCAAAGATATATTTCTATATAAAACTTTGATTCCCCATTGTGGCCCCGCCCTTCCCCCGGGGGTCATGATTTGAACAATATATATCAGCTTTACTGGCCCAGTGGTTCTTGAGAAGAAGAAAAACCCTATTTTTGTCATTTCTTGATTATCTCCCCTTATGAGGGGACTTGGCCCTTCATTTCAACAATTTAAATTTTCCTTCACCCAAGAGTGCTTTGTACCAAGTTTGGTCAAAATTGGTCCAGGGGTCTTGAGAAGAAGTCGAAAATGTGAAAAGTTCGGCTCAGGTGAGCTAAAAAGGGAAAAAATGAAAAAAAAATTGTCCCGCTTATATTTTCCAAAGAATACTTTGTGAAAAAAAGGAAAAAGTGTTTAATCTATAGGATTACCTGTATGCCTTCAATGTTCGACTTGCTAATGGTTTTAATGATGAAATAGAATGGTTCTCCCTTTGGTAAATCAGTATGCATCAGATAAATATGGCGATGTTGTTTTGTAGATCTAAAGGAAAGTAAATCAGGTGCTGTGCTTCCAACTACTGTGGATAAGCCAACCTCATAATCATGGATGTTTGTTTCATTGGCGGACCAGGATAGAGTGATCTACAAGGAAATATAACTAGTTTGGAGAAAAAAATCTAAAAATAAAGGGACAAATTATTTATATATTTTCCTTCTGATATTCTAATTTCAAAAACCAAAAATTGATACATTTAAAAATACACACGTGTGATGATGCGGACAGTGCAAGACTCAAAATGGCGGATGTCCTTGAATTATTTGCACAAAACACTGATCCATTCACATTAACGTATGAACCATTCTTGTGTTTTTCGATAGGAAAGATGTCAATGTTGGATAATGGTACAGCCTTCCTCCTGGTAAGTTAAATTATAATGCATTCAAGTCATTTTCTTTCTGAATGACAAACCACATAAATGAAGTTTAATAACTTACACACAGTCATCTGTCGGATTAGCAATTAATCTCCTATGTCTGTTTCTACTGACCACCCAATAAGTCGTTTTCCCTATGTCTGTTACTAAACCTTCCCTGACGTAAGCATTGGTTATGTCCACCTCTGACACACTTGGTACCGTTGTAGTCACTGTAACGCCGTCAGAGCAGACCGGCTCAGACGGTTCCAGCGCTCGATTGTAGGCGACAACACAAACGTAATGCGTCCCCTCGGTGGCTACTGTGTGAGTTACATCTGTTGCATATGTTTCTTGTAACTGTAAATATAAGTTTGAGACTTCTTCCCATGAAAGTCAATACAAGTTCATTATTAACATGAAATTTAAGCTGAAATCACAAAACTCGATATTTATTAGTTCTAGGAAATTTACAAGAGGGTTGCTGTTATCCAGTTTGAAACCATCTGCAGGAATTGGTTTCGTGTGGAAGCCATACATGTAGAACATGACACCACTCTCTTTGTCAAAGAATCCGTCCCAGTGAGCGTTCAGTGTCTTGCTTTGTTGGAAGTCCACCTCACTAGTTCCTCTGATTCCGTCTTGTACAGATCCGGTGTGTGGAGGTGAAATATCAATAGTTATCTGACGAAAATTGATCATAAGTAAGATTTTGAAAAAAATGTAAATATTTATCAAGTGTTCTTACTAGTATTAAGTTAATAAACAGAGGAAGATTTTAATTTCTTTATATACTCGTACATTTATGAAATATACACTGAAGTAAAGATTTTAATGTTTCGTTTATGTCTGTATATCTCTGTATGTGAGTGGCTAATTGTGGTTTGTTTGTTTGCTTGTTTCCTTGTTTTTTCATTGATATTTATATATACATGTACTGAATAAAACATAAATAAAAGTAAAACAATGCGCTCATTTTACTACACATTATGTACGTCACAACATCATAATAATCAATGTGTTTAAACTGGTATAAGTATATTGCCATCGAACATAAGAAATATAATTTCAGAAAATTTATATACCTTCTTCGTTATCACTGTAGATAACAAAGCTTTGTTTGTCGCATTAACCTCCAGGAAATAGTCGGAATCGTGTGTACCACTGTCTTTGTCATGCACGAGGCCTCCATGTCTCTTAATCTCAGGTTTTACTTGAAAATGTCGATGATAAGCTCCCCAGTGATTTGTTTGGTAGCAGTTTGGTCCTCTGCTATAGTCACTATAATTCTGACTGCACTCAGTAATATCCTGTCGAATATAAGTTACATATTACATAACGGTATGATAAGTAGGATGCATGTAATGTAAAGTTATGCAAGTTCTTTTTATTCGAGTAAGTACTGGTACATGTATATGATCAGTATGCAAAAAAAAAAACAATACAATTCAGAAAAAGTAAAAAAAAAATCTTTATTTTTCACAAAAAAATATATATATATATATAAAATAACATATTAAATAAACAGCATTAATAACCTTTGCAAACAAATAACATTGAAAATATAAGAAAATTTTTTTCGTTGAAAGATTCTATTCTTTGTTTAAGTATGTGTCATTTAAATCATGTACACTGTCTCTAACCATGTTAACGTTTAATTCATTTTATAAATCAGTCAAACGAAATTTAATGTAAGATAAGAAGAATCGAAAATATTTGCTAGGACCGCTGACTTTTACAGATGACTGCTTACTTTTACACTGGGACAGTGTATTGAAGCTCTTTTACGATATAAATATTTAGCTCAACATTTAATTAAACGAAAATAAAGAATTATTTCACGGCACAGGTAAACTGTCCTTGAAGAACACGACAACCATTCTATCTTCAACTCCCCCCTTCACATGTTAGTGCCCCTAACACCATTTCTCTGACCACTAGAAAGGTTTTCTTATCTATTATCAATTCTGTAGCTCCGTACAGGATACAGGTTTAAATGTCAAAGAACACAGCCAATTGTAAAAGTCAGTGCTTCTCGCTTAATTCAAATAAGCTTAATTAAATCTTATCTTCATCCTTTTCATTTAACCGAAAACGCTCGTTACAATTTTTCAATATGAAAAGCGTCCTCAAGACAACGAAATCTTACATTATATGATCCTTGAGCAAACAAATCTTCGTGGCCATGAAGAATGATTTCTCCGGTAAAATTGTCATACAATCTCCAGTAGATGCTATCGATGCCACTGTGGTAGTCATAAGCCAACCATTCAATTCTGAATTGGGTTAAAATGAAAACCGTTGATAGCGAAAAAATATGCAATTTTTTTTTACAAATAAAATTATAAGGCTTATAATAAAAGATGTACCAAAATCTCTCTCTCTCTCTCTCTCTCTCTCTCTCTCTCTCTCTCTGTTTACGTCATTTCTCTGAATTCCTCAAGCCTGTGGACACTTATATTAACTCTATCTCCTCGTGTTAACCATACGTTCTCTACAATTGGAGGAGTGGAGTCTCGATATATCGTAAGAGTGTCGTTCAAAGTTTTATTAAAAATATCGATGGCTACAACGATGATGATTGCCTTGTCACCATCAGACCAATCCATGTTTAAAGTCTCTGACTCTGTGGAAATGTCGCTCACAGATGATAACCCTGTAAAATCTTTCAAGCCTGATCCATCATAGACGTAAAACTGGACTTTAAAATCAACACATCCTATAAACACAATAAACAGAATTTGTTAAAGAATCATCATCAAAGCTGTTAAGATAAGAAGAAAAAAAATCAAATTCTACAGTGTACCTTCGATGTTTTTCACTTTAGTGACGGATCGCTGTCCAGAGTAATCATCGTAATCCTCTGTAATTCCATAACTCGGTGAAATTTCATTTAGCCATTTGTAATAACTATGATTAGAATTTCGAAATCTCTTTTTCCATTGCACTTCAACTATCTTTGTATCATCAACAACCCATGTGTAGTTTGTTTTATAATATGCAGTTTGGACACGTGTTACATGATTTGGGTTGTGTGAGACATGCGAATGGTTGTCATACAGAACGAAACGCCTGGTCGTTTTATAATTTCCAGCTTTGTCATAAGCTGCCAGATGGATAGAGAAGAGTCCTGACGCCCCTGGGAGTTTCAGTGTTTTCTGAAAGCAGAATGGTGAAAAATTTAAATACAATCACTTTGTTACATTTGTAATTAGAAAAATCACCCAAAATATGTTTCATTTCCAAATATTTAGGAAAAAGATAATCCTTACAGATGATTCATTTAAAAAAATGATTCCGTTGTCTTTCGGTTTTGCGTCCTCTTTCAATATAAGATTTCCGCTGACTGTACATAATTCATATTTATATTCCTTTATTCCGGCTAGATTGTCATACCAATCATTCCATGTTATTGTTATAGTTGACTGAAATAGAAAAAAAATATTTTTAGATCATAACCATAAGTCCATAAGAAATTCATGTTCTCACAAACATCCAAACAGTACTTGTATTACAATGTATATCAAATATTAATAGTGTTGCTACTAAGAATAGCTTAGCTATAGCCTTGTTGTAAACATTAAGAATAGGAGCTTACATTTTCTGTTAGATCGGGTACAACAAGTGGATCTTTGCAGTCTCCATTTATTGTATTGTATTCCGAACAGTGATAAGGCGCAACAAAGTCCCAACGATAAACATACTGTAAAGTTTTAGTAGTTCCCACCAGGTAATGAGTTTCATTAACTTTTCGTTCTCGATTTTCCATAACAAGATGTCCTCCTATTTCGGCCTGTATTGTAAATGTCATCCTATTAATGGAAAAGCTTAGTTAATGTAAAATAGAATGGTAATGGGCTTCGAGATCATTGTGTTTTTTCATTATACTTTTAAAACTTGTTCGTAAACAATATTTATATGCTTACGTATCGCCATTGCTGAAGTTAAAAGGTTTCGATCCAGATTCCAAAGGAAAATTTTTTTTGCACTGAAAAGAAGAGGTTGCCGGTTTCGCAGGTGATGCTTCGGGACAGTTGTACACATTGATGATTTGTGACGTCCTGGGAACTACAATATTAAAAAAGTTATGTTGCTCTTCAGTTTAAAGCTATTGCACATGCATATTTTCCTTCGTGTTGAAACATAATTTCTTTTTAGTAATATCCCATTGATTCAACTAAATTATTACTGTAAGTGGTGTTAAAAATTGATTCCTGAGTAGAATTGGACGTCGCTGATGAATTTGTATGGTCCATGTCTGTGGTGTTCTTGATGCTCTTCACTGGGTCCAAAGCAGTGTAAGTAAAATTTAAGGTAGTAGAGGCCCTTATAATACCATAAACGAACTGCTGAATATAATGATTTTCATCCCTATGGAGATTCTCCTTGATTGCATATTTAGCGTTCCATATTGTCTCTACAATCTTCCAGTCTTTATAGTTAGACCATACCACAGGATGAGGACCAGGGTCTACCGAGTCTGAGGGATTAGTCAACACGTGGTGATTGTGTTTTAGCTTGAAAAGGTTGTCAAGAATATCTGCATATTCTGTCACTATAAAAAATCAAGACAATTTTTTACAGGTAAGTCTAAAAGTAACCACAAAACGTATTGTGTATGAGTGCGACGACGAGTTGTTTGAAGTTGTGCGAAGTGTGCGATGGCGCGTTGTTTGAAAACGTGTCAGCGCGATAGCGTTGCGCTAATACACAACACGTAATTGCGCTTATACACATCACGCGGTCGCGATAATAAGCTTTCGAATAAACGCTGTTACGCTGAAAAAATTACACTACATACCGTTGCGAAGTCAAACAAGACACCGTCGGGCAAACTTTATGCAACATGCTGTCGCGCTTTCACACAACTCATTGACATGGAATCCGGATAGGGCGATGCAGTTCACTATCGCACCTTCGAGCATCGACTACAAGGTCGATGGCGCGATAACGATGAAGCAATTGAGAGATAACGATGGAGGTGTCGTGGCGATAGTGAATATCGTTTTATCGTCAGCGTACCATCGCACCATCGTGTCATCGCTATCGCACTATTACATCATCGTTCTATCGCACCATCGCTTCATCGGTATCGCACCATCGCATTATCGCGCCATCGATCTTTAAGTCGATGATCGAACAACATGGCCCTATCCGGATACCATAGTATTGTATGTTAGCTCGAGGGCGTGTTTTTCTGAACACGCAGATAAGCTTTTATAAATGACCATATCCGGACACCATAAATTGGAAAACTGTTTAAAACGTTCTTTTTATGACATAACATATCTAATTAAACGTATCTAAATAAATGGAGGCTTTATTTATTATTAAAAAAGAAGTCATTACTTTGTTCACAATGTTTTCCAGTAAATCCTTTCGTACAGTTGCATTTATTTGCAAGTCCTCCTTCACAATAACCTGGGTAACATCTTGTACTGTCTGGTCGCCAAGAACATGCCTCTGAAAGAAGATAAAGGATTATAAATCCTCAGCCAGGAAATGATAACTCTTAAAATTATTATTTTATTTAAAAAGTTTTGACAAGAAGCTTGATTATGAAAGCTTTTCAGAAGTACTTTTAATTTTATGTATATTATTATGATTTAATGCTTTTTGAAGTCTTAGAAAGGTTCTTGCAATACAGGATTCTCCATTTTAACTGTGGCGCAAGATTTTAAGTAAAAGAGAAAGTCCAAAAACTGTCCATTTTGTTCGAGGTCCGAAGGGCCGAGAACAGTTTTTTTCTCTCACAGAATGGACAGTTTGAGGACTTTATCCTACTTAAAACATTTTCTCTATTGAACTTTTTCTCTACATACGTAGACACTGCTTTTGATTTGCGCTTTTGACGTAGGCTTTATGATAGTCCTCATCCATTACTTCTCCTTCGCAGTTCGCACATATCTTTGAGTCAGCAGTTTCTTCACAGTGCGTTTCGAGACAATGTGGAATGGATGGACAGGCTTAGAATAATAAAAATTAATGCAGTTTTACGTTAAAGAACTCTCTTTGAGAACAAGTATAAATATCATATACGAAAGCAGAAAAAATATTACAGATGTAATTTTTTATAACGAATATTTAGTTGTGCGTTCTATTTTTAAGAAAAGGGTAAAAAGATTCTCAAATAAAAGAAATAACTTGTTCATAAGCTCTAAATATATTTATTTTTTTTAAACTTTAACTCAAAAAGTATGCCCTGTTATATAAGATATTACAAGCATCTTATTAAACAAATCATTCTTTTTTATTATCTTAAACTCAAATTAATTTGCTGAGCAGCAGTTTTTTTTTCCTTAATATAAATTAACAAAATCCTCAAATGACTGAAAATTACCTGTACATCTTGGCCCATCGTTGTAATAATACTTATTGCAATACATACAATAACTTGGATAATAACACTGCCCCTCTGATGCTATTTCTTTCCATCCAAATTTCGTGGAAATCTTCTGGGTTTGATTACAGGCCCCATAAGGAGTGATTGTTCCACCACATATTGCTGATAGAATCAGAAACCGGGTTCTTTAGGCATGCTTATTTTTGCTTAGTTGCTTCAGATCTCAAAAAAATATGACAGTACGATTTTTAGCTTCCTGACTAATGTTAGTTTCAAATTATTTATAAACAAAATTTTGCCGAAGGGGGGGGGGGGGGTTAACGGGTTTTCTACCTGAGTGTAACTGAAAAAAATAACTCTTTTGATATGAGCATTTGTCATCAAAAAATCCTTTTAATTAAGGCATGTGGAATGACATACTTGTTCCCTAAAATTTGTCATTTTTACCCCATTCTGTAAGTTCCACGAAGTTTTATTGTAAATTTTATGTGGAGTGTCCAAACAATTGAGGGCCTTCTCGCAAAAGTCCAAAGTTTCTTCTATTCATATGTCGACTTGATATATCAAAGCAAATTTGAAAAAGAAGAAACCACAAAGTCTATTTTATATTTGGACACTTTAGTAACCTAACAATAAAACTTAATGATTAATTTGATTACTTCAAAAGGATGACTGCACTTAATACTGTGTTTTGGGTCTTTTTCAGTCGCTTCTGTTCTTTAAAATCTTAATCTAATATCACTTTTAAATATTTACTACAGAAGTCTGTCAATGTAAAAAATAATTTTAGTCTGTAATACAATAATTAATTTCATGTTTTTTGTCCTTCCTGTTTTCCAAACGCTTAAATTTACACTTACCTGCCCTTAATTGAACATTATGTATGTATGAGAGGTGGAGATAACATCGTAAGATTGGATCTAAAATTAGACTGGGTGAATAACGATGACATGTATTAAAAAAATATGAGATCACTTTTTTCCATCTTTCTATTTATTCTGTATGGCACAAGTTCATTATTTATGTTGCATTATTTACGTTATTTGTTCTCGTATGAGCCCATCCATGTAAGTAAAAAATAAAAGGTGTTCGAGCAGAGTGTCCTAGTTTTCACAAAACATCAATCGCATCATGCATCTCGGGTCTTTCCGTCAGAGGTCGGAAAAACAACCTCGAATGTATAACATCTTCCTGTTTATTCAAATATAGGATAGACGGAGATAGATGTTCCTTCTATGGTATACAGCTCAACGAACATTTTAAACTCACATGGTTTTTCGCACAAGTTAAGGTCACATTGTTATAATGTAAAATTGTGTAACGCTACAATATAACATATTTCAAAAGTGATTTATAACTTACTTTTGATCCTATTCCATAACTTTAAACAATATTCACACATAATAATTGGTAGGAATTTTATATGCTCTAGTTTGATAGATTATGACAGTTCCCAAATGATTTTTTTCATGGTTTCTCGTTAAATGCTGCTGTTTTTTAACTTTGCATTGCCTAATTAGAGAAACAGTGAAGTTTATGGAACTTTTGCATTTTCTGTACATTGATATGACTCTAAGGCGCATGAAGATAGAAGTATTTATCATCTGTTTGATTGCTTTCATGTTAAAAAGATTAAATTTTTTCAGGTAAACTTTACGAAATCTAGCATTATGAAAAATACCTTCCAACACGAAATTTCAAAGTTTCAGACCATAAAAGTAAAAGATTTTTCTTTTCAATGGTAACGATTTATTATTTTGAATGATAAACAATTCTTCATTATCCTATTCTCTCACATGATTTCTTTATGCAATTATGTCATTTTTCGGCGCTGCATTTCGACAAAACCAAAACAAGAATGGAATGTGTGCAAAGAAAAATACTCATCTGTAAGAAGTCAATTTGAACATTTCAACTAAACAGTGTCAAAAATTGGTCGATTAATTAGTTTGTGAATACCTATGGTAGAATCATACACATATAACATCATACAATGTATAAAAAATTTCTTATGATGTTGAATATTGATAAGTTTATCACTTATTTACAATGATTTCTTGTATCACACGTTAGGTGGCGCTTTTCCAAAAGCGATTTGTTTTGTTTTATCCTATCACATGTCACGAATTTGATCACATGATTGATTATCGATATTGCCGCGATATTTGACTATCGTTTGGTATTTAGTATAAATACAGTGGTTTGACGTGTAGCAGATACTTTTTATCATCGATTTTTGGATATTAGTTGGTACGTTTTTACGTTCCAATTTATTTTATTTTTATTTTTTTTTTATTATTATTTTTGTTTAGGATTAGGTTTTTATTTCTTTAAATCATAGGGATAATATTTGATGCAGTGATTTAACTGTAAGTTATTATTTCCGTGATTATTTCTTGAGTTAGGATATTTTTCGGAAATTGATTGATTTTTGTTTGATTGAAATTCATTGAGATTTCATTTAATTTTGATTGGGAAATCTTTTTAGATTGATTTAGAGTAAATTTAATTATTTTAGGTAAACTTCAGATTATTTTTTAGTCATATTTTTCTGTTAGAATTTTGACAAAGGACTTAGTAAATATTAACCATACGTATATCAAGGCAGTAAATAAACTGTGATATACACTTGTGGTCTAGTTGTTTTATTTATACTTTAAGTAGGGATAACCATGTGAATAAAACAGTAATTTAATTGTACGTTCACTTTGGAATTTATTAGAATCTGTAAACGTATTTATTTATTTCTGATAGGTAACCATAGTGAACAATTGAGTAATTTAACTCAGTTCACAAATGGTGTTTATTAAATCCTTTTTACATTAAATAAAATGTTTCATTACGGGATTATTCAAAGAGTTATTCCCCTTTATTCAGTCCCTTTATTTTGGGTGGTTTTTAAGTAGTTCTGGTGATACAATATTTTGACTCTAATTAAATTGATTTAATTATGAATGAGTGTGCTGTGTGAGAGAATATTTGATCTAATGTTGAATATATATAATGTTATTGAATAAATGAATTATATTAATGTTTCCAGCACCACTGGAGCAGAAATGTACCAATCGAATTATTTGCACATACATATTTTTTGAAACGTTAATTAATCTTGATTATATATTGAGTTCATGGATTCTGCACAGGTCTGATGGAATTGAAATTGATTATATTGTGCACAATTTTTATATCTTACAAATTTAAAGAGCTGCTGCGCTACTCAAGGGCTTATTAGGTTAGCTGTAAATTACTGCTATCCCTGAGCATTACATCTATATATATCATTCTAAAATGTTGATTTTTAGGGGGCAAAAATTGGCTCTTATCATATATAGTCCTTTCACGTATCCTTAAAAGCAGTCATCCTTTCTATATTTTTGAGATAAGGTCTTACACATATCTGTTTGAATTTCCATGGGTATTAATTGGCAGGCCTATTTTTGAATTCATAAACCTCACCCTTAATCCTGAAAACTTAATTACAGGCTGTTTTTGAAACAAAATTTGTTGTGTCACCATCTTTGAGGAACATTAAACATCCTTAAATATTGGAACTCGTTTAGAATTTTTAACTGCCAGTGGGTTATTTCTTAAAAATATAGATCACAAGCAGCACCTGCAACAGTTTTCCCTTTATCATCCATAGATCCCACAATGTGATTTTTGTTTACAAAGTATCAAAAGCATTTTAGAAAGTACATGTGTGTGTTCAGGTTAAAGTGATCTACTTTCCTGAACAATAGCAGAACTACCTTTAAAACTTTTCAATTTCTATCACCTCCAGAAAATTACGCTATATCAAATAAGGAAATCAAAGATTAAATTTAAAGATAACTCGATCGTTTTGAGCTTCTCGTGATCAAAATGCAAATACTAAAATATAGAATTTTAGTTATAGGATTAATTTTTCAGCCGAACATTTAAAGCAAAGGTCGGTTCTTTTAGTCGATATGAAAATGTCAATACCTTATCCGCGGCAATGTTGAAGTGTTGAAGGAGTTTCCCTTCTGCTTTTAAAATGGGAAGAAGCTTAAAGAACATAAAAAAGACAGAGAGACTGACAGATGGGGATAAAAAGATTTTTAAAAAAAAACTCATTTAAGGTATTAAGCAGTACAAAACACCCATGAAATCTGTTTTAAATAATTTCTCAAAAGTGCACTAAAAAAAATAATACGATCACTTCTATGGTGTTTCTACGGAAGCGTAAATGGCTCTACACTTGTTATAACTTTGTATATTGTCTTATATCTTTTTGACTTATCAACATATAGAGTGTTATACCTCCTTATTTATGCCCATATTTTGAATTGTATTGAGGTGTATTTACATAATTGAAGGCAACTTCTTTTGTTCAATAGATCTTATTGCTTTAACTTTTATCGACTGAAATATTATACTAATTTTCAAATATCGATCTAAACAAAATATTTATTCATGTCAGTATAGTATTGTCAATATGAAGAAATAAATATGAAGTTATATCGATATAGATATATGAATATTTTCAAGAGAAGTCAGAAAAAGGTGTTTTTGAATT